AGGCCTGTGCTTGTGGGCCCTGTGGAAGCGTGCGCGTTGTCTGTTAGCTCAGCGTTCACAAGGTGCGAGGTTCTGTTCAAAGAGCTGCCCTGCTTGCCCTAGAGGCTGGTTCCGGGGGGAAAAAGGCACCGGCAAAGGCAGCCAGCGGTGCTTGCAAAGGGTGACATCCGTGTGTGCTGAGGACAGCATGACACGTCAGCCCACAGTCACAACCTGTGTAAAGGCTTGTGTGAGAAAGAGATTTTGAGAGGACTGAGGCGTGTGTGAGGATATGTACTTTTTTGCCACAGAAATGGTTAAAATGTGTCTTCTCAAAGCTACTGCAAAGACTTAGGCTTGGGGAGAGACTGTCTGTGAATTCTGGCAGGTGAGTGTTCAGGGGAGAATGTTCCATACTGAACAGGACTCGGGAGGCAAGAGGAGCCTGTCTTTAAAAAAACCTACTGATACTAAGCTATACTGTTGACAGTGAAGTAGGATACAGGTATATCTAGCAAGAAGTGTTAAGCAGAATTATTCTCAGATTTGATCATATTAAAACAAATGCCATAATACAGAACAACTAACGTCACAGCGTTTAGCATCTGCAGGTACAACTGTTGGATTAACTTCAGATCTTGTTTTATCTGTTTAGACTTTGGAAGTCCTTTACTGTGTTTCTGCCTCAACACTTGATTAGGTTCAAATTTTAGTTTTAAGACCTGCAAAACAGCTGGTGTCCCATTCAAGTGGGCCCTGTCTTTGCCAGCCATGGATAGTTAGCATCTCATAGCAAGAGTCCAAAAAAAATCAAAAAGAAAGAATTAAGATTCAGTGGCGGCTTTAGTTATTGAGGGGGAATATCTGCAGCTAGAGACTTGCCTGTGATTTCTTTAAGAAGGCAGATTGCTGTACCAGGCAGGTTGTTTGCTCTGTTTTGTCTCTCCTGGAGTCCCAATCCCCTATAATGAGTGCAAGCATCTCCTTTGCCTTGTGCTCAGTCTTTCTTTCTAAGATGCATGAAGATGGAGTCTTAATACTTGTTACTGAAAACAGATGGAAAGGAGGCTAGTGAGGGGGTTTGTTTGATTTGTAAACTTAAAAGCTACAAAAATATGTATTTTCTTCATCTTAAGGTTTTCCAGAGGTTTACAGCATCCCTATCTCAGGAGAACAAAGCTGCTTTGAGTGGAAGGAAATCTGCAGAAGATGGCCTGAAGCAGGGCACGTGGTACATTTATAGGTAGGCAGGATATATTGCTTATGGGAAAGTGTGTTGACTTGTCTAATACCAAGTTAGTAGCACCTCAAGCATCCAAATGTTCTCCAGTACTCATTGCTTGCCTGTTTCTTTTATAACAAAAATGAGTTGAGTGCTAATTGGAGTGTGCTTGCTGCTATTGACCCATGTAGGCAATACAGCACACAGCGCCCTTTAATTGGTCATTGCGGAATGAAGAATAAACTGTGAGAATCCTTCCCCTGCTCCTCGGAGACCATGAGGTTAGATATACTTTACAGCATTGCCTGGAGCTTGCCAGACTCGGGCTGTCTGGAAAAAAAGGGATATTGTTTTCAGAGCAGGGAACTTCTCACCTGAAATTCCCGCCTCTATGGCAGGCACAATGCTCTGCAGAAGCCACAGGGCACATGTAGGCAAAAAAAAAATCTTCATTTCCAGATGGAGACAGGCAGGGCACCTGCTTTCCAAATCATGTAGCAGTGTCCTAATTGTAAGCCCTTGTTTTACTCTATATCTTTTGTCTCCTCTATACAGAGATGCCAGGAAGTCGTGTTAGAGGAATTGCTCACTAGCTTGCCACAATGCTAAGGCTAATATGTATTTCTGGGTTTGGAAACTGTCTTTCAGAGGCTGAAAAAAATAGAGGATTGAGATGTTGTGACCTGTTCCACTGCCAGTTTTTTAGTTTTCCTTGTGACTGACGAAAGAATAAAAATCTCACAAAATTATGGAGAAGGGAAGTCCTCGATACCATGGGCATTACGTTGGCTTTTTGCCTTGCTTTGGTTTGTCCTAGATTATGTGGCAGAGTGAGGATTATGCTTTTTTAGAAGCAGTTGCAAATTTGAGGAAGGATATTTTCAGAACTTGACTGCGTGGGCTTCTGAGCAGTCTCGTCTGTGAGGTTAGCTCTTCTTCAAGCAGGCAGTGGGACCTCTAGAGGTCCCTCCCAGCATATGCTTTCCTGTGGTTTCTGACTCTTTTCAGTCAGAAAAGACAGGAAAGCATTTCTGTGAGGAGGTAGGAATATCCAGTCAGATGCATCTCTCAGTGCTTAAGAGCAGGGAATATGAAATTAAACAAATAAAGGTGTAGATTAAAGAACTTTACTTTGAACTGGTGGTAAGAGATTTGAATCTGCTGTCTCGAGAGATCAGCTGAGAGTCTGATAGTATCACTGAAGTGCCAAGTTAGACAGAATAAACTCTGGAAAGTTGTCTTGTAACAGAAAAATTTGTTATATTGTTCAGATACCTGATTTGGAGAATCGTCTTTGATTCTTTTAACAAGATGTTGCCAAAAATAATTGGAAAGCATATTTTTCCACGTAGCTGAGGCTGAAGACTGTGGAGGTCAGTATCCCTGCAGAAGTAAGCATTTCTTTTGGTTCACTCTTTACCTAAGTAATTCTGTGGACACGTTGTTTCCTGGAAGTTGTGTGTTGCCAGTGAATCTAAAGTAGAGGTTTAATTGGAGGTTCCTGTGAAGGACATTTGGCCTCTGTGGTTCTAGTGTCTCTCTTACAGAGTGATCCAAACATACTGGTGCTTGTACAATAGAGGAGATGGAATTTCCTGACTGGGGCTCAGAGTTAGTGCCTCAGCATAAGCTCCATCTGGCAGAACTAACTTTAAAAGCCACCGAAATGCATCCATCCCTGTGGTGGAATGTAGTGGTTATTTGAAAGTGGCTTTTATGTAATTGAAAAAGGCACAAAGGAAAGAAGTAAGAGTCAGGAGGTGGAATTTGATAACTCTGAAATGTTTTCAAAGCTGACAAACATTCTGGAATAATTTGTGAATCACTTCATTCCTTGAAACAAAATGTGCTATCCATTCCTCCTGGAGATGAGGACAGACAGTTACTGTCAGAGGGAAGTATCTGACTATAAACCTGATACTTCATTTCCCTCAGTTTAACTTATGTGATACGAAAATGCTGTTGGTATTCTTTTAGAGATTTGTTATGTTGTTCGGCTGGAATTGTAACAGAACTAGGGGGTTTGTTGTTTAGATGATAATTTTATATGGTTTTGAATGTTTCAGTGCTTCTCCCAGACCAGTCCAACAATGCATCCTGTGAATAGCTCAGACACTACCTGGTTGCCAAGACCTAGTTGTCCAACACCTGCGAGAGAACATGAACATCTTAGGCCTTGGCAGGTGAGTGATGCTCAACATTCCTTCAGCTGCAAATTCTACTGGGCAGAATCAAAGTTCAGGCCACATGAAACCAGTATCCGTAACTGGGATCCCAGGATATTTGAGTGTAGTTGATCACCTCTCTTGGAACTGGCCACCTGATACCCACTGCAGTTCTAGACTGTGATCTGGTCTGTGTCTGCTCTCCAGGACTGTTGTCCCTGACACGTACCTGAATTCATTAAGAAGTCCCACTCCACAGGAGCGTCTCTGCTTTTGTCCCTCCCTCCTAGGTGTGCTCAGAAGTGTGCATCACAGGAAGATGTGTGTGCTCTGGCCTTTGTAGAATCATCGAATGTGTTGGGCTGGAAGGGACCTTTCAAGGTCGTCTAGTGCAACCCATCGCAGTGAGCAGGGACACCTTTAACCAGATCAAGCTGCTCAGAGCCCCATCAAGCCTGAATATCTCCAGAGGTGGGGCCTCCCCTCTCTGGGCAACCTGTGCCAGTGTTTCACCACCCTCATAGTAAAGAATTTTTTTCTAACATCTAATCTAAAGGGGGCCGGTTGGCTCAGTGGTTTGAGCGCGGTGCTGGCAACAAGGACCAACACCGAGGTCGCAGGTTCGATTCCCGCTCGGTCCCCATGTGTTGCCAGGTCTAGTCGAGAGGTGGCGTCCCTGCCCAAAACAGGGAGGTTGGACTAGATGATCTCTAAGGTCCCTTCCAGCCTAGGCCATTCTATGATTCTATGATTCTAAATCTGTGCTGCTATAGTTTAAAACCATTGCCGCTTCTCCTGTCGCTACACACCCTTGTGAACAGTCCCTCCCCAGTTTTCTTGTAGCCCCTTCAGGTACTGGGAAGCTGCTCCAATGGTCTCCCTGCAGCCTTCTCTTCTCAAGACTGAACAACCCCAACTCTTTCAGCCTGTCCTCATAGGTGACGTGCCCCAGCCCTCTCGTCATTTTTATGGCCTGTTCTGGAACCGCTCCAATAAGTTCACTCCTTCTGGTGTTGGGGGCTCCAGAGCTGGACGCAGTACTCGAGTTTGCTTTAAGTTCAGGCTTTCTAGTGCCCACGTGCTACACGTTCAGAAATTATATTGCAGTGTGTCTCACGTTTGAGTAGGCTGCTGACTCAGTAACCAGCAGTCTGATGCTACAAGAGGTGCTTAAACTATGAGTGGGTAGAACTGAACATACGTTAATATCTATACCTATATCTATATCTTTCTTTGAAGAAGCATTCCCAAACCATTAAAATCGTGGGTCTAAATTAGGATATTCCAATCTCCATTATTTTGATTTCATCTGTGTGAAATGTTCTCCACCTCCTATCCTGAAGTATTCCTGAGAACTGCTACAAGGATTCTGTGTTGTACTTCCTGCACAGAAATAACGAGGTTTGCAAGGCAGCACGGTGTGAAGATGTTAGATGAACTTCTTACCATTCTGTGTCATTTTTAGCTTGTGGTTGGCTTTTTATGCAGACCTTTTTTTTTTAAAACATTTATACAGAGGTTCCCCTCCGCACCAGCAGGGAGTGGCGCAGCAAATGCTTGTGACTGCACTAGACATTTTAGGAAGAAAAGTACAACCAAGGATTGGCTGTCACAGACAGACTTCTGTTGTGCAAAGGTATGAGTGGAGGGATGAAATGGAAGGTACAAAGGGAGGGATGAAAAATGTTTATTTGCCAAGTCCTGTAGAATCTGAGGTATATTTGTCATTGGGAAGAGGGGAGCTCTAGAAATATTAGTCCAATGGGTTTTATTGAGTCTTTGCATCCTTCTGTGTGTTGAGTTCCATGTGATTTGGTATGTGGAAGAGTTTCTCATAAAATCTTAAAAGTTGTGACTAGCTAGGGTCATGGACTTGTAGAACAGCCCAGGCTGGAAGGAACCTTGAAAGATCTGATCCAACCTTTTGTGGGAAAGGGACACCAGATGAGATTATCTAGCACCCTGTCCAATCACATCAGGAAAACCTCTAGTGATGGGGACTCCACCACAGCCTGGGGGAGAATTGTTCCACTGAATGATTAATCTCACTGTCAAAAAATGTGGCGTTTTTTAAGCTGTAGCAACTCAGCTGTATGCTTGTTCTCTCAGGATGAGCTGGTGCAAGTGGAACAAGTTCCTGTCAGTGTCTAAACTTCTGATTAGTCCTAGAAAGCAGAACACATTGTAAATTTGTTTTAGCTTAAGTGTCTATCTAAAACAGGTTGTGTTTTAGTTTGCTGCATTGCAACTTACCTCCTGAATTTTTGGCACAATGCTGAAAAGCTGATTTTTTTTTTTTTTAATAGCAGATTCTTCAAGATAAATTCTGCATTACAATTAAAATTCTTTGTGAACTTGTTGCTTATAAAATCTGCTGATTGACTTACGAAATCAAGATCCCTCCTGTTAACCCACAGAGTTGAGGCTGCATGACCATAGGGACAATACTTCCATTGCATGGGTGCTCTAATCTTGCTTGGAGGGACTCTGTCCTCAAATGATACAAGAATGCGGTCTGTACTGCTTGTGCTCTTTGGCCGGAGTGCAGGAGTTGCAGTGAATAAGCCACGTGTTACAAGGCATTACCTATTTAAAAATCAAATTGACAACAGCAGTGCATTGCAAGGGCTGTTGTTCTTAAATTGTGTTTTAGTGTCCTGATATTCGTGATGCAGGGAACAGCTTCTCCCTGTTCTGATCTTGAGGAAGAGTAAGATGAGGATGATGCTAGAGAGGAACTCGACTGATGTCACAACAGTAACTGAGATCTAAACTGCCGACAAATTCATGGGCAGAGGCAACAGTGAGGCAGTTTCCCGCTTGGGAGGGTTTTTTCTCATGATCTTTCCTCTTACACTTCACCGTTTCCCTCTATTTTTGCTTTTAGGCTTTTATGAATTCCTTGACATAATACCTCATCACGCTTTTCATTTGTTTGATTGCCGTTTGTATAGCATGGCTGTATCTGTACTGAAAATGAAGGTGTAGAGAGATGCCTCTTGCTGCCTGCATCAGGCACGTGTGAGCACCAGTGGCGAGGAGCAAGTGGGGCTGTGGTCGTGGTGAGGAGCGGCCAAGGAGGGGTGTGGTCTGGTCCTG